GGCATGCAGCCTCCAAGTCTGTCTAGAAGTTTTGCTTCAGCGTGCGCACCTTGGAAAAGGTGAAGCAGCGTAGATGTTTCACCTGAGACAGCAGTCATGATTTTTTTTTGCGTAGAAAGAAAAAGAGTCTCTGCAGCCTTGGCTGCGAAAGGCCGAATCGCTGAGACCTTGCTTGCATGAGCTCCCTTTTCTGCATTCAGCTGTGTGGCTTGTGTGTTTTTGCTCAGATTCCAGCCATGAAAAGGCTCAAGGGCTGGAAACTTGAAAAAGAAACGGGCGGTGCTAAGTCTAGAAAAGCAGCCTCCTTGGAAAAGGCGGAGCTTCACAGTGATCCCTTGGAAAAGGAATATCAAGATCTGGCCAGATCTGGCCTTGCTTGCAAGTTGCTTTCTCTCTGGAGCTGTGGCGTGTTGTCGGCAGTCCTTTGCCAGCAGCTCGTGCACCTTGCCCTCCAGGATGGTGCCCAGCACCAGGACCTCCTCCGGCTTGCAATGGCAGGCCATTGGGGCCAGCACCTCATGAGGTTCTGTGGCCAGGTGGCTTTTCCGCACCCAGTGCCGGTCAAAGTGAAAGCAATTGACAACAAGACTTCCTTGGAAAAGGAAGAAGAAGCGCATGTCTTCCTGCCACAGATGGTCTTCGGTCGCCTGGGTGAGTTTTACCCAGCATTCTTTGCAAAGACCATGGAGTTGGAGAACTTGGAAAAGTTCAGGAACGCAGTGGAGAAAAGTTGCGATCCGAAACTTTCTCATCACCCCATGACCTTGGAAAAGGACTGGAAGCGTGCCTCTCTTCGTCCACGGCGACGGCGTTGAGTTTCAGTCCAGGGATTCGCTGCTTACCTTCTCTTTTGGGTGTTTGGGAGGCAGCTTGTCCTCACTGGAGACTAACCTGTATCTGGCTTCCTTCCCAAAATCTTCAACTCATGCTGGGACTTGGGCCCCGATTTGGAAGCTGCTGAAGTGGAGTTTTGATAGCCTTGGGAAAAGCTTCCACCCAGACAAGGACCCTGATGGCAAGGCCCTGGAAGAGGACAGTCCTTGGTATCAAAACAGCGGGCAGCCTTTGCACCCCAAGGGCTACAAAGCCCAGATTTGGAGCATCATTGGGGATCATGAGTTTTTCGCCAACCATCTCAAGTTGGGGCACTGGGCTTCGCACCACCCATGCTGGGAATGCGATGCGCAAAAGCGCTTCCTTGGAAAAGGACTAAGAGCAAATCTGCTTGGGAAAGCAGGGCTTCAAGGTGTTGACAGTCGCTGAGCACCTATCCAATCCTTGCACGGATCATTCTCTCTTCATGTGCACGGTGTTTCCAGCGCCATGGTGAGGGGAGACCCCCTGCACATACTGTTCTGCAAAGGGCTTTACGGCCACCTCATAGGGTCCATCCTTCATTATATGTGCTACTATGAAGGGCCAGGAAGGATTGGCAAGAAGAAGCCTTGGGAAAGGCTAGCCCTCCTGTTTTCACAGGTGCAAGCGCAGTACTCTGACATGGAAAAGGTCTTGCCGGCTCACAAACCTGAGGCTCAGCATGCTCTGCAACGTCAAGAACCCTTGGAAAAAATGCAGAGTTGGACTGCAAAGGTGGGGAAGCCAAACACCTGCTCCCTGCCCTGCTGCCTGTCCTCCGCAAGGCCTTCAGCTTGGAAAAGCTACACGAACAAAAGATGATTTCTGCAGCCACAAGCTTGTCGCCTTGTGGGAGCCTTGGGAAAGGCTTCTTGGATGACTATGCTTGGCTGAACCAGTGGTCCTTCGATTGCGATTGTCGCCAAGCATCATACATTTATCCACTTGCTTTGGAATTCAAAGTTCATGAATCCTAGGCTGCAGTGGTGCTTTAAATCCGAAGACTTTGTAGGTAAGACTTCCAAAGTGGCCCACTCGATCTTGATGGGAGTTGCAAGCTCCAGACTGAGCCAGAAGCTAGGGGCAAAATACAGGGTTTTGCTGCACCTGATCATCTCAAGTCATAGTTTCTTGGAGTGCAGCAAGGACATCTGGGAGTCCTAGATCTGCTCCACCAGCTTGGAAAAGCTGCCACCAGCTTGGAAAAGCTCACCAGCTTGGAAAAGCTGCGCGCTTGGAAAAGCGCTATAGTGTCACATACCGATGTGCAGCCTGAAGAGAAAAAACGTGCGGAATGACTTATAATATTGATCCCAATATTGATCCCAATATTGATCCCAATATTGATTCCAATTTTGATTTTGACAATTGATTTAGTGTGGTAAAATAGAGGTTGTGCAGAATTGATTCTAGCATGCTCAGAATCAATATCCTGAATTGATTCTGCGACCCATAAATCAAAATTTGGATTGTAATCAAAAGCGGATGCTCAGGGTGATGATAATGCATCTCCTGCATCGCCAACAGTCATGATGATAAATGGCTACGCACCCTCTGCATCTCCAACCGGGTCTAACGCTACCCCTTGAAACGTATATAAACAAGATAGGCGCAACAACGATGATCGTGTCATCATCATCATCATGTCTACGCATCCTCTGCATCTCCAATCAGATCACAACGATGATGATGTGATGATGATGAGCGTGTCATCATCACCATGATGGTGGTCATCATCGTCATCATCATCATCGTCATCATCATCAGCATCATCATCATCGTCATCGTCATCATCACCGTTGTTACCATGGACGATAACCATCATTGTGCATCCTCTGCATCACCAACAGTCATGATGATAATCATGACTACGCACCCTCTACATCTCCAATCAGGTCACAACGATGATGATGTGATGACGATGGGCGTATCATCATCACCATGATGGTGGTCATTATCATCATCGTCATCATCAGCAGCAGCATCATCATCATCGTCATCGTCATTATCACCGTTGTCATCATGGACGATAACCATCATCGTGCATCCTCTGCATCACCAACAGTCATGATGATAATCATGACTACGCACTCTCCATCTCCAAGCAGGTCACAACGATGATGATGTGATGACGATGAGCATGTCATCATCACCATGATGGTGGTCATCATCGTCATCATCATCATCATCGTCATCATCATCAGCATCATCATCATCATCCTCATCGTCATTATCACCGTTGTCATCATGGACGATAACCATCATCGTGCATCCTCTGCATCACCAACAGTCATGATGATAATCATGACTACGCACCCTCCATCTCCAAGCAGGTCACAACGATGATGATGTGATGACGATGAGCGTATCATCATCACCATGATGGTGGTCATTATTGTCATCATCATCGTCATCGTCGTCGATGATAACCATCATCGTGCATCGTCTGCATCACCAGCAGGCATGATGATAACCATGTCTACGCATCCTCTGCATCTCCAATCAGGTCTAACGATGATGATGTGATGATAGCCATCATCATGATGGTGGTCATCATCGTCATCATCATCATCATCGTCATCATCGTCATCGTCATCATCACCGTTGTTACCATGACGATAACCATCATTGTGCATCCTCTGCATCACCAACAGTCATGATGATAATCATGACTACGCACCCTCTACATCTCCAATCGGTCACAACGATGATGATGTGATGACGATGGGCGTATCATCATCACCATGATGGTGGTCATTATCGTCGTCATCATCATCTTCATCATCATCATCCTCATCATCGTCATCAGCATCGTCATCATCATCGTCATGATCGTCGATGATTGCCATCATCGTGTATGCTCTGCGTCGCCAGCAGTCATGATGATAATCATGACTACGCATCCTCTGCATCTCCAACCAAGTCTAACAAACGTGTGTGAGAAACCTATGGTCAGATAGGAGAAAGATTAGGACGACAACGATACGAGTAGCTCGGAAAACAACTATCATCGTGCATCATTTGCGTCGCCAGCAGTCATGATGATAATCATGACTACGCATCCTCTGCATCTCCAATCGGGTCTAACAGTACACTTGAAACGTACATGAGAAAGATCTGATCATATATGAGAAAGATAAGGACGACAACGATGATATTAGCCCGGAACATAACCATCATCGTAGCATCATCTGCATCACCAATGCTTTCTAACCCCACACTTGAAAGGTGTAGAAAGACACGTCTTTGAGGTGTGGTGGTCATCATCAGCATCATCATCATCGTCATCGTCATCATCACCGTTATCATCATCGATGATAACCATCATTGTGCATCCTCTGCATCACCAACAGTCATGATGGTAATCATGTCTACGCACCCTCTGCATCTCCAATCAGGTCACAGCGATGCCGTTGTGATGATGATGAGCATGTCATCATCACCATGATGGTGGTCATCATCGTCATCATTATCATCATCGTCATCATCATCAGCATCATCCTCGACGCCAGCCAGCAGCGGCGGTAGTGGCAGCAAAGAGAAGAGCGTAATGGCTAGTCCAGAACAGACTGCGAATGCAAGTCCCTCCTCACGGGCATGATGTCTGGCTGTAACAGGACACTTGAAACGCACACGAAAAAGACACGGATGACGACAATAATGATCATGATGACGAAAAAGACACGTCTTTGAGGTGCAAAGGATGCTACGATGACGGTATTGCTTACGCTGATAATGTTGAATCTTCGGCTATGCTCATTTACCAACCAACCTTGGACTTGTACTGCAACCACCCTTCCCGCGCGCCTCCCCCTTTGAGGAGAAGGGGTCGGCGGATTTCCAATTGCGCACAGCGTAGCAGTGCATCATTTTGGCTTAGGCAGTTACATGCACATTCATGTGTGCGCAAGTATCTCTTCAGATCGTATGGCGGTTCGGTCTTGCTGGGAAAGATGGGCCGCGCCCGTAGGGCAGATTGTTGAGCGCGGTGGCGTGAACTCTGCCCACTGAACAGGCGTGCGCACAGCGCGTGGGAGGGCGTGCTGTGCAAAAATCAAAGGACGAAGACACGACGGTTCCATGAAACGTGATGCCTATCGAATGTCAAGACAGGTGACAGAAACGTACAAAAACGGCTGGTTGAGGTGCTCAAGGGACGTTTGGTGCTTCTCCACGGCAGCGGCTCCCTGGAGGTTCCAGCAGGGCAGACGGTCTACATCCCCAGAGGACTTGACCGGGCATGTCCTTGGCACGTGTTGGGTTCGGATGGCAATCTGAGTGCAAAGCAAAAGGCAACCTTTGGGACTGTGAGAGCGCAAAGCTGGGCCTTAGTCAGACGGCAGGGGAACGCTTCCGACCAACTTTCCCAGATGGGAACACAGAGTACATTCCGGTGAGGAGCTTAGGGGCTTCTCATTCACGACGAGATGCGGTCGAATTCGTGGCAGGTTTGCCTCCCGGCGTTCCGGCCGGACCGCTGCTTGCGGGAGGAGGGCAATGGAAGCCGGGCGCCCCACGCCCCAGCCCTCGACCGAACGCGGTCTGGCCCAGATAAGGTGACGTTAGCGCCAAGCTGCAGGAGCTGCACGGAGGCAAAGCGGTCAAAGCGCCAGAGCGGAAGCGAGTCTCGAGTGTGGCGTGCAGGCAAAGCTGGTTACCCCAGGCCAGCTCTGAGTCCTGCTGAGGACCCTGCGCCGGCTCTTTGAATGCAAGCATTGCCGCGTCAAGCAATCAACTTTGAGTACAACGGGCAACCAAATCGGGATTTCACAGCGGCGCGTGAGAGCGCGCAAGCCCCTGCAAACCAATTGCATGATTGACAGCAATCTGCGACTGAGGAGGTGATGTATCACATGAGCCTCGACGCAGTTCAGGCGAGTGCTCTGATTTCTAGCAGACGCCTTTTGCTCATAAGGTGCCAAAAGTCCTTGTTGGAAGAGGCCCAGAAGTCGGATGAAGCTCGCTGGCTGCAGATTTCATGGGGTGTTTGCCATTCTGCATGGGAGCTCGCACGCAGCGATAGGCATATTTTCCACCGACCTTTGAGAAGGATGGCTTCACGCATGCGACTGCGGTGCCATCCAGGCTGCTGGACACGGCGAATCACTTCTACCAGGCATGCAAGTCTGCGAAGACGTCAAAGACGTTTTTTCTGTAAACAGACCCCATCCTCGAAGTCTTAACATCCGCGAGGGCGGGTCGAAGCGACGTGCCAAAGCCACAGGATGTACCTGGTGACTGGGTGTGCATCCGCTTCCGCCGCTCCGCGCTACGGCGCCTGGGCATCATCACCCGCGACGAACAGGCAGGGCATGGGCATGGCAGGGCAATGCGGCCAAGTCTGAAGGCGGATGCCTTCCCAAGATGCATCAAGTATCAAGTGAGATCAAGTGAGTCAAGGCCAAGCCCGTGGGCAAGAAGGAGATCAGCTCCGCAGCGGCGACATTTGTTTGACGCTCACCTCAAAGACTTGTTTGCGAGGACCATTGTGCAAATGGAAAGCAAGGGCAACAGCAATCGCCGCATGGAACGAAAGACTTGTCGCTAGGGCCGCACGTCTTCGGCGGGATACCCCCACAGGCCTGTGTGCCATGAGCGGAGGGGAGCATGGCATCGCTTCGTGTTAGGTGGTTGATGCAGAGTTCCCCATGCTGCGTGAGGGCCGCGTGCCTTGGCAATTGCCACTGCGGCCTTTCGTATCAATGGCATCGTGTGGCAGGCTTTCGTATCAATCTCGGGGCTGACGCGGGTGTCGTCCTCAGTGGCCCAGGTTTCAAGGGAGATTCGTTGGTTTCCGAGGTGTTCAAGCTCGCGACGGCCAGCGAAGAGCTGAAGCGGGCACCTGAGGTCTGATTCGGTCTGATCCCAGACTCGGCCAGATGTGCCCTTCCATCCTCAGAGGTTCCGAGAGCAGGGACACATCTGCTCCGCGCTAGATGAGAAGGAGCTCGGCTGCAAAGCTCGCTGAGCGCAAGCTCGGGTTTCGGTGAGGACGGCTTCGTGCACCTCAGCGACTCCTCGGCGGCTCCTGTGGTGGCGCGAAGTTTCTTCAGCGGCGTTCAGGTTGGAGCGATCACGGGCAAACGAGAGGAAATTTGGAAGCGACTGAGCCAGGATCTGATGCTCCTGGAGATCGATCCCGCCGCTGGCCAGCTTTGGTGGCACCGACAGACCACACTGTAGGGCACCACGAGGCATTGCGAGGCATTGCGAGGGCCGCCGGAAGCCGGGGCGAGTGCACCAAATGCCTCAATTGAGCGCTAAGGACGGTCTCCCAGCACCGATCACTTGGGTCCTGGGGTCGATGTCGGATCCGGCACCGGACGCAGCCAAGCAGAAAGCCACCAGTGCTGCACGGCAAGAGACAGATCTTGCATTTTCCGAAGCTTCGGCTTGGCAGCTGTTCCGCCACCCGAAGGTTCTGCTCAGCTTCCTGAGGTGATCCACTACTTGAAGCCGGAGGGCTGCGTGCACGTCTATGGCAAGGTGCCAATGGACGCAGTCTTGCGTGCGGAGGCTGTGCCGCTTCAGGACACTTGTGGCCTGTCACGCGGTATCTCCGAACGAGCCTATTCAAGCTCATGACATTTCAGGATGGAGCGCACGTCTTCCCATCGTGGCTTTCCTAAAGTTTTTTATGACCTGCGCTTGTGCGGAAAGTGCGGCGGGGTGCGTAACATGCCTTTGTGATCACATTGAGCTTTGCGAGCCGTTCGAGCCATGCGCCGGCTGCCCCGGAGGGACCTGTGAATTGCCATTGAGAGCTTGCTGCACCCCGAAAGCCTCAAGGCGGAGTGTGGAGCATGGAGCGTGATACAGGTGCACTGGTGCTGGTTGGAAGTTAGATTTCCTTGTGGCCAGGTCTCGCCTAAGGTGAGACATGGGGAGCTGACTCGAGGTGCAGAAAAGGGGCAAAAAGAGCGACGCCACCAGCGATGCTGTCGACATGCCATGACTTGCATCAGAGAACAGCAGCCAGTGTAAGGCGGCTGCACGGCAAGTGTCAAGTTAAGGCTGCAGCGCCTGTACTACTGCAAGATGCTGCAAGCGTAAAGCATGATCAGCATGAGCATGAACATGAGCAAATCCAGCGCTTTGCTTTTCCGAAATGCATGTATTAGATTTGATGGCGGGCCGAGCCTGAGCTATGTCCTGCGCCTGTCCCAAGGTAAGGGGCTTGCGCTGAATGACTTGGGATTGTTTCAGCGGATTCGGATGCCACCTTGCAGGAAGAGCTCGAGGATTCTCAAAATCGGCTCTTCCACCGCATCGAAGGAGTGGAAGAGGGCTATGTGCGGTGCCGTGCTGGCCAGTTCGATATAGTTTGCAGGAAATGAGAAGCACAAGATCAGTAAGAATGTCAATATTTACGTCTTTGACAGCATGTCTCAAGCCCAAGCTGTTTTGGTCAGATCTGGGAGCCCCGGGTGGCTTCGCCCAATCACCGACAAATCGCTGAAACACCTTCGCCAAATCCCGTGTCAATTTCAGCAATACGATCAGTTGCCCGCGGGTGCCAGAATGCATAGAATGCAGCCCAAGAATTGACAAAAGGCCATCATAGGCAATCCATCCATCTTATGCCTTGTTTTGCTCCAGGCCTGCTGGTGCAGCAGTGGGATGCCTTTGAGGCGCAGCTGGAGAGACTCAGAACGGCCTTGGAGGCGGGACGGAGTACCATCTCGCAGATGCACAAGTCTCCGATAGATTTTGTTTTGCTTCTGGAGATGCGAGTGAGATGTGGCAGAGCCTTGCAGCTTGCAGGTGCCCCATGATATGCCAGCACCCGGGTGGAGGAGCGCTGTGCGGCCCGGGCCTGTTGAGCTTAACTGCGACAGGCTCGAGGAGACACGGATCACATCTCGGCCCGCGGCCAACTCCAAAGGCGCTGCATCTTCACATTGACAAAGCCATCACAGTGCCATCACTGCCTGCTTGCGGCTTTTGGCTTTTGGCTTTTCGGTGCAGGCTCTGAGATCCCTCCATTCGAGAGGTGGGTGTCGGTCTGTGCCCGCAGTCTTGCAAGACTCGAGCTTAGGCATGAAAGGCCAAGGAATGTTGCGTTAGAAGAGAGGCCAAGGCTGGGAGCTATTGCCAGACTCCATTTTCCATGTTCCCTGTTTGTCTCAAAGGCCTCTGGGTGAGAGGTCAAGGCTGGGGTGCTCTCATGTTCCACCCGAGTCTGAGACTTTGAGAGTTGAGTGAAGCCGCAGGATCCCTCAGTTCGAGTCTGAAGCCAGCAGTATGAGTGCCCTGACCGCGAGCAGCGGCGTCCAGAGCGCTTCCCTGCAGAGTGCCGGCATGCACAGCGCCAGCGACGTCCACACCAGCGACATCCATGCCAGCGAACAAAGCGGTGCGGCAAGCGATGCCAACGAAAGTGCTATCAGCGGCGCCAGCATTGTCGGCGTCCCGGCATATAGGAGAACCTGAGTCACTGGGCCTTTTAGGGACTCTGGACGTCAGCACAGAGAGTGCCGAGGTCAAGCACAGAGATGGAAAAGTCTGCTCCTCAAACAACTTGGAGCCCATTTGAAGCAATGTTACTTTCTGCATTCAGTGACACGCAGTTCCTTTGCGAGAAGAGGCGTAAGCTTCGAACTAAGGCATTGCAGTCTAAAACAAGAAGCAGAGACCTGCAGAAATTGCAGGACGGGATTCCTTGCTTGGTACATTGGGTGTGTCCTGTGTGTGCTATGCTGAGGACCAGCTGACAGTGGCTTCGCTGAGACGGGTCTCCACCCGTATTGGGCGAATAAGCATAAGCCGAATTGAGGCGTGCGTCGCCACTTCCATGCTGCCTGCTTTTTTTTGCTGGGCGCAGGATGGTGAGGCTTTGAAACTGGCGCTCGCAGAGGGTCAAATAGACGAGGCCGTGCAGCGCATGAGATTTACTGAGCCATGTGCCGGCAAATCGCGCGAGAAATGCAGGAGATCCGAAAGGAGAAGCAAAGGAGAACCAGTCTGCGAGCAAACGCAGCTCTCCATCGGCAGAGCTCGTCGAGCCAAAGGCAAAGCGGGTTGAGCAGGCTCCAACGGCAAAGCTCATCGAGCAGGCCATCAAGAGCCGGAGAGGCCAGCATGGATGCAGGATGCAGGATGTAGGTAAAGTCCTGAGCAAATTCACAAGTGCCAGGTGCAAAGAGCAAAGAGCCGCAAGCGGACGCCGCTCATTTGAAATTGGGTGAGAGCACCAAAGTGCGATCGACGCGTCAAGAAATTGAGCTGCCCCGAGGATTTTTGCCTCAATGGACGATGAGTCAGAGAAGATGCGAGTCGGGTCGTCACAGTTGCAAGAAATGACCTGAAATTAATGCTAACATTGGTAAGTCACAGATGCTAACATTGGTGAATTCCCAACTTACTAAGCCGAGGAGAATGCTCGCCGCCTCGCAGAGAAGCGCGCTGGAGAATTCACATCAGAAGGCAGGCGGAACTGCACTTGAGCCGACACGTGTTTGCCGCTGGGGACAGGCCAGACTGCACCCCCTGGCACGGTCGAGAAGATGCGTTTCAATCTGCGCCGCTTCGTTAGCTCCATGGCCTTTGAGGCATCAGAGGCTGCCGTTGGATGACTTATTGCCAGCGTGAGCCAGGCATTTGCTGGTTGCATCATCACCTCGAACGCGGTGATCATCGGCATGGAGGTCAGCAGACATGCTCAATACACGTTTCAACCATGCTTCAGACAGTTCTCGACTGAGCGTTCAGGTCGAGTACTGCGCGACTTCTCAAACGGTCCAGTCACCCGCGCCTGGGCTCGATCCGAGCACTGTCATGGAACTTCAGCATCACAGTCTTGGAGGAATGCTTTTTTCCAGGCTTGGTTTCAGACCCTGCATCTTTTGCCACCCTGCTGCATTGGCGGACGATTGGGGGACTGTGTGGACTCTGAGCGCAGAATCCCGAGGTACGCCATAGTGCGCTGTCCTTAGACTCTGACTGAGCCTGCATCGACGGATTTGCAAAGTGTTGAGCACGAGGTTTGCATTGGAGCTGGGCTTGAGAATGGTTGCCTACGGCTGTGATCTCTATTCTGACAGCGAGATGTACCTGGCTCAGAAGGACTGCGCTGAAAGGCGACGCTCAAAGCAATTCAAGGAGGCTCGTGCTTGCTGAGTCGATTGCCAAGGTTTAGATGGGCATGTCTTGACTCCTTCATCGTTGCCGCTCCCTTGGTTTCGCTATGCGCGCAAAGGTGAAGGGGCCATCGGATTTCAAACTCCAGGTGTCCTCCTTTGTTGACCTCTGCCTGAGCTGGAGCATGCGCGCAACGGAGCGGCAGAGCGGCAGAGCGTCAGTGGGATGTCATTTGTCAATTCGCTGCAGGACGAGAATCCATCGAGCCTCACATCGTCTGGCTTGTCAGCAATCCGGGTGATGCGGGTGTGCCTTGACCAATTTCGCTGCCTTTGCTTGTGGCACGATCTCTTGTCCCCAAGGCTGCGCATTAGCAGGCTGATACGGGTTTCTCGACTGGCCAAGCTCATGCTGTGGCTGAAGGCTGGGATTTGAAGATTTAGAGAGCCCAGAGCTTGTTCGCTTGTCACAACAGGCATTGCGAACACTGATCCATTCCATCTTTGCCGCTGGCTCATATTACAACGTCCATGAAGCTGAGTAATTGGGAGAGTCGAGGTGACCTTGAAATCCCTGATTTGGGCCTTGGTCCTGTTGGCGCTGATCATGTACGCCGGAAGCTCAGAGGCCAATGGGCGAAGTTCCCGGGATTTCTGCAAGGGGCGGAATGGCGGAATCGCCTCGAGTGAGGTCTTTGCCATCATCTTGGCGCAGGCTGCCATCGAGCGGCTGGTCCTGATCAAGGTGCAAGTTGTTGCGTTCGAGTTCGCTGGACGCAAGCTGCGAGAGATTGAGAATGCTTGTTGAAAACGCCATTCATTGGGCTGCGGATTTAATTTGAGGATGCTGTTTGTGAGGGCAGATGGTCAAGCCTCCACGGAGTCTGCCTATGTTTGGGCAGGCAAGAAGCCATAGCAAAAGCATCGTGAATCCTTCGGCACAAGACGCCATGTTGATCGGCCAAAATTGTTTGTGCCCGGGGTGGCGGGTGTGGCGATCTCTCTCTCTCTTGGGCTTCAGACATCGTCGTGGGAAAGTTTTACTTGCAAGGTGGCCTCGCCTCACAGATTTCCGACCTTCCATCGTCAAAGGGTCAGATGCATTCTTGATCCTTCCATTTGCAACTTAGAACCTGGACTTCGCTGTGCGCTTTGATTTGATGTCAGGACCTTCCTGGCGACCAGTGGGATGCCCAAGACACGACCCTGAAGTTATTCTGGGGCAGCCTGGCCGAACCATGGTCTGACAGTCTGACGGCTTTGCTTCATGTCCTGCGACCCCTTTAGCTGAGGCTCCCTTGGAGACTCCGTGTGATGCCCTGAGTCAAAGTCAGCAGCGTCAAAGATGCGACGTTGCAACGTGCATCGACGTCACGAGGTCAACTCTCTTCATGTCGATCACCGGGGGTATCTCCTGGCAGGTGGCTGAGCTCCCTCTGACGCAGCTGTCCGTAGCATCTCGGCCAAATCCAATTTGGGACCTGGGGGGTTTGAGAATGTTTGAGACCTTGAGACCCTGGGATGGACTTGGGACATTTCTCTCAAGCGCTGAGGTATGGAAGGCTGGGTTGCGCGTGTCGAGACATTTGTTTGTTGGATTCAGGAAATTGAACATTGCTTCTTTGCAACACAGCGACACTTTGTGGTGTGCACACAGAAGCAAAGCCTGCGTTCAAACAAGAGCGTGACATGTGATGACCTCCTTGAATGGGGTGTGTTCGAACCATGCACAAGTTGACCGAGAGTTGGTAGCAATAACATTGATCTGGAAGCGCTCGTGCTGCCAAGCCATTCCTTCTTCTTTGTCCTCAGTATTTGGAAAGGGGCCGGCCTTTGTCTTTCTCTTTGCTTTTCCCTGTCTCTTTCCATGTTGCTTTCTCCTCTGCTTCTGCTTGTCTTTCTCTTTCTCTTTCTCTCTCTTTCCTTTGCCTGTCCCTTTCCCTTTCGCTTTCTGTTTCTCTATCTTCATCTCAGCCTCTATCTCTTTCTCTTTTTCTTTCTCCTTTTCTTTCTCCTCTTTCTCCTTCTCGGGAGAGAGTTCGAAAAGGAGAGAGAGAGAAGGAGAGGGAGAGATAGTAGGAGAAAAACAAAGGAAAGCAGAAAGAGAAAGTTGAAGAAGAAGAACAAGGAAAAAGAAAGCAGAAATGGAGACGGAGATACACATCGATAGAACGGAAAGAGAAGGAGAGGAGAAGAAGAAAGGGAAAAGAAGAACAAGGATAAAGATGAAGAGCGAAGCAAGGGAACGGGAAAGGGAGAAAGCGAGAGAGAGAGAGAGAGAGAGAAACAGAGGAAGAGAAAGGGAAAACCAAGGAGAAGGTTCAAAGGCTCCCCTTCTCTTTCTCTTTCTCTTTTGCTTCCCTTTTCCTTTGTGTGTTTTGTTCACGTGTTGTTCCTTCATAAGGCAAACCGGCCGAATGGCCGTTTGGCTCAAGTTTTCAACCCCCCCGTCAGTTTAACTCTGGCACCACGTGCGGACGCCATACAACGGCAGCCGCCCACATCATCGGGAAAAGGTCTCGGTGCTGGGGGTAGCTGGTTGTGGGAGGTATCCGGTGGTGCGGCAGGGTTTGCTGGGCTTGGTTGAGTACTTATACTTCTTCAACTTGATTCCCAACTTCCCCAAACTTCTCTTTGCCAACCGTCACATCCTCAACCCGGTCATCATCCACAGCTTCACCCGAGTTGTGTTTCCGGGTGCTTTGGGTACATTGTGATCTTCTTTGTGCTCATTTGCTTCCCTGGGCTACTTCGTGTTCGCCCAAAACCGCAGGTTATCAGCCGTAACAGCTAGAAGCTGGGGCTGGTGGCCCGGTTGCGGGACGTGACCCGCTACGTGCTCCCCCTCGCCTACGCGTTCAAGCAATGGCGTCTCCCGGAGCTTCGCATCGTGGACCTGGCATCGTGGACCTGTCCACGCCAATCGCGGCAGCGCCAACCCCGGCTTAGACAGCCGGTTGTTGCCCATTCCCCCGGTGATGGGCGCAGAGCCCAATCCCGGGGTGATCACGGACGACTGGATCTTGTCTCAGGTCGTTTTTGATGAGGAAGCGGAGGCCCCTATCCCGGCGGCAGTGCTCCAGATCGAGCACGGACCCCCCTCTAGAAGAGGTTGTGGTTCCTCCGAATCAGGGACTCCCGTCGATTTCGCCTACTGTTCCGTTTGTGGCCTTCCAGATCGAGGACCAGGTTGCTCATCCTGCAGTACATCCTGAGACGGCTCAATCTTGGTCCCTTACATGGGATTAGTTTGACCAGCTTCTTGGAAGTGGCCCGCAGGCTACACCAACCGACTTCGATCGCATCGACCTCGATTCGGGAGTCCCTATTTCGGTCGGGAATGTTGATATTCAATCTCTTTTTGATGCTGATTGGAGATCTCAGCCATCCCGACCTTCCCGATTCAACAGGCCTTTTGACGCCCTGCCCACGCATGAGCCTATTGAGGATTTTCTTCTTGAAGGTGAGAGTGACCCCATTGAAGATTTCTCCCCTTCCCAATTTGCAGGTTCGGCCCAACCCGGGGCGGGCGATCGAGCAATTGAGGATTGGCCGCAAACAGCTGGCCTTGATATCATTCGTGATCACCCCAGTCCGGCGGATATGGACTTCATCCCCGATGCAGTACCATCTTACTTGTCAGGTACCCGTGATCGGGATGCGGACGGCTACAACGCGGGTCCAAATCCACCACATTCCTCAGGCACCCGAGATCGGGATGCGGACCGCTACAACGCTGGTCCAAATAATCCACTACCATCCTCAGGTACTCAAGATCGGGGTGCGAGCCGCTACAACGCAGGCTCAAATCCGCCAAACACAACCTCAGGTACTCGTCGACCGGACGCGGGCCGCGAAACAGCAGGCCCAAATCCGTCCTCTACTTCATCGAGAAACCATGCCGGTCTCTTCGCGGCCTTCAATCGGCGTGAGACTCCAAAAGAGTCCGCCCCTGATGTGATCGACCTTGAAGAGCAGTCCAGCCATCATGCCAGTGAAGTGCTTTCGCCAAAGCCCTTCATTGACGATGTTGCTCAACGGCTTGATCTCACTCAACCTGATCACGATCGAGCTCAACTGCGTGGATCATCATCTCTTGATTTTTCGTCGGGACAAACCGGCACTGACTCGCGAGCCACAAAAAGGAGCTCCGAGTCAGGTGAGAGGCGCGAGGCTGCGCTTCGATTGCGATCCATTCCTCCTGCTCATCACGATCCTATTGACGTTCCTATCCACTCTGCAGGATCTGGGCTTAGCTCCAATGCACCGATGTCTGAGAAGGACACTGATGACGGGATCATTGCCACGCCCAGGAACCGGAGACAGCGGTCTGATACCGCCGTCCCTGGGAATGGAGGGCTCCCATCGAATCCACCGACTGACAACTCCATCGTCCCCACCTTCTTTCAAATCGGAACTCCGAGTTGCACTCCTGACAGGAATGAGGGTGGACGGGGAGCTAGTGACGCTAACAGCCGTCCTGCCCCTACCACTTCCGCAAATGCGGGCCATCCTGTCGCCTCTGAGCTTCAGCGACTCCTTCTCGCGATTCACAACGAGATCAAGGGGTGCAAGGCTGAAATCCAGGGGTGCAGAACTGAGATTCGTTCATGTAGGGATGATATCAGCGCATGCGTTGGTGAGATCAAGAAGATCAACAACCGCATTGACACCTTCGAGAAAAAGGTTGAGTCTTCCTTTTCTGCCGTCGCCGGAACGTTCTCGAGACACGAGGCCAAGTTCCGTGAAATCAGAAGGAGATGAATGAGCGCTTCAAGATATATGATGAGAGGTCTAACTCTGTCATCGTTTCTGCCGCTGGACTCCGCGAGCAGGCCGAGTCACTTGAGAACATCAAGGTTCAGCTCCTTAGATTCTCCAAAATCAGGGCCCTTGAGGCTGAGATTCGAAGCATCAATGACGAGGTTGAGGCAAACTCCCGCAGTGTCATTGATATGGAGGGGACCATCAAGAGAAAGAACCATTCGCGGGAATGTCGAAACGTACCTTCAGCACCTTGTCCCTGCCACTGATCTGAGACAATTCAGTGACAGGATGTCTGGAGCCCTTAACAAGCATTCTCAGAAACATGAGGAGCACAAGCTCCAATTGTCCCGTATTGCTAGATGTGTCAAGGACCTTCATGACAGAAGTCAAGGCCCCAATCCATAAGACTCCGCATGGCGACAACGGTGACGGTGGCATTGGAAATCCCGATATTCGACGATCGTCTGCCGAAGAAAGGGTATGTCCCCGTTGCAACATCAACGTCAAGTCCCACGTCCCTGGAACGCCTCCCTGCTTCCAGACTTGCTCGCTGTGCCGTACTTCCTTGTGTGCCGCATGCTGCCCGCCTTCATCGGGGAGCTGTTCTCTCTGTTCCACATCCATTGGAAGGGATGGCATTTTTCCTCCCCATGTTTTCGGGCAGGCTACTCGACCACCCTTATCCTCACTGCCCTCTGAGGCAAACAAGTGTGCCAACATAGAGCTCGAAAAAGAGCCTGCGCCACATGAGCTGCGAGACTGGATCATCTCCACTCGAGAAATCGTGAGCAACGCATTCAGCTATGACTCGCCATACGCCATGTCTTGGGTTATGAGTGTTGAGAACGCCAGTACCATAGAAGAGTGCCTCTATCCGATCCTTGACAACAGGTTCAACGCTACGCTGAGGACGAAGCCCATTGTTGCCAAGATCAGCAGGCTGACTGAGGAGGCTCAGCTAAACAGGGGGACTAGGCTGAAGAGTCGCCAGATCCTATTCTGCCTGATTGAAGACCTTTGTCCTGACAAGGTCGGAAGCCAATCGATTCGCACCAATGAACTTCTTCGCCTTTCCCTTGGCAGAGCCGCTGGATCCGGTGAGCCCCAACTCAAGAAATTCCTTGACAAATGGGACGGACTCCTCGGCGGCATCACCGCGCCGATAGATCATCACGTACTCCAGCACGTCTTCTTTGAACAGGTACGGCATTCACCATGCCTGTTGCCTGACGTGCAGCGCTGGGATCGTAATCCTGACGTACCTATCATGAAGGCAGCTCGCAACGCTGTGTCGAGGTGGAGGACGCGTTACAACGTTTCCGAAATAAAGGACCGGATGTATTCTCGATCGCCTCACACTGAACGCAATTCCAATGCCGCCGCTCCTGGGGTGCGCCGTCCTTCACCTTTTGGCGATACTCGCAAGGCTGGGAATAGCGGTGATCACCGACCTTCGCCTAACTCACAGTGGAGGGACGGGAGATCGAATGAGCAGGATCGCGGAAAAACGCGGTCTGAAGACCCCAGACGCAGCAGTAGGGATCGTGCCTCTCCTGGAAGAGATCGCCGCCGTGAACAACCTGCTGCTCCTGGCGTATGTCATGACTGGAAGGGACAGTGTAGGCGCGGCTAGCATGAGAAGCCGCCTCCTGACCTCGCTCAACCTGGCGCCCCTGCTATTGAGCAA